ACCTATGTAATTAGAAAGAACATTTCATAGCGACCCCATTTTTCTCTCCCTGAAATACTAGTGAAATAATTCCTATTTTTCCTGTCACACAGATGTACAATTGAGGTGAAATTATAGAAATAAATTAGAGCACTGAGAATGAATTAGAACAATCCTAAAACATATCTTTGAGTTTATTAATGTAGGCATAATATAAGTCTATGGGATCATTATTTGATTTTAATTAAATGTTATCTGTTAGAGACTGCTATTTCCTACAAAATGAAGAACACAATTTTTTTTTCTAAACAGTAATAAAAAGATTTAGAAAAAACTGAAAAACTTAAGATTTTAACTTTTGAATATGTATTATCAACCAAGATAGTCAATATTTTGTGCTCTGGAGTAGAGTATAAAAACAACAGCATCAAACAATGGTAAAGAACTGAAATTAGAAGGATCATACAATTCGGCAGGATGGTGATATTTGCTGTGAGAATTTGAAGGCTGTCATATACCACCAAAGGCTGAGGAAGATTCATGAGGTGATGGGAAGAATTAGAGAAGCTGCAAGTGGTGAGTATTTTTTGAAACGGAATTAAGTGTAGAAACCAGTATTTTTTAAATTTAAGGCTAGAATGAAAATAAGTTGTTTATGCAAAGTTTAAATAGAAAATCTTTCTTTCCTCTTTAGAAATACTTTTAAAGCTGAGAATGATGGTTTCCAGGTTCATCCATGCCCCTACAAAGGATACGAACTCATTGTTTTTAATGGCTGCGTAATATTCCATGGTGTATATGTGCCACATTTTCCCTGTCCAGTCTATCATTGATGGGCATTTGGGTTGGTTCCAGGTCTTTGCTATTGTAAATTGTACTGCAATGAACATTAGTGTGCATGTGTCCTTATAGTAGAACAATTTATAATCCTTTGGATATATACCCAGTAATGGGATTGCTGGGTCAAATGGAATGTCTATTTCTAGGTCCTTGAGGAATCACCACACTGTCTTCCACAATGATTGAACCAATTTACACTCCCACCAACAGTGTAAAAGTGTTCCTATTTCTCCACATCCTCTCCAGCATCTGTTGTTTCCAAATTTTTTAATGATCACCGTTCTAACTGGTGTGAGATGGTATCTCAATGTAGTTTTGATTTGCATTTCTCTAATGACCAGTGATGATGAGCATTTTTTCATGTGTTTGTTGGCCTCATGTATATCTTCTTTTGTAAAGTGTCTGATCATATCCTTTGCCCACTTTCGAATGGGCTTGTTTGTGTTTTTCTTGTAAATCTGTTTTAGTTCTTTGTAGATTTTGAATATCAGCTCTCTGTCAGATGGGTAGACTGCAAAAATTTTTTACCATGCTGTTGGTTGCCGATTCACTCTAATGACTGTTCCTTTTGCTGTTCAGAAGCTGTGGAGTTTGATTAGGTCCCATTTGACACAAGAACAGAAAATCAAACACTGCATGTTCTCACTCACAGGCAGGTGTTGAACAATGAGAACATGGACACAGGGAGGGGAACTTCACACACTGGGGTCTGTAGGGGGGAAATAGGGGAGGGACAGCGGGGAGTGGGGAGTTGGGGAGAGATAGCATGGGGAGAAATGCCAGATATAGGTGATGGGGAGGAAGGCAGCAAATCACACTGCCATGTGTGTACCTATGCAACAATATTGCATTTTCTTCACATGTACCCCAAAACCTAAATGCAATAAAAAATTCAATTAAAAAAAGAGAAATACTTTTAAAGGAAGAGACACTTGAATTTAGAGCAATAGAACAGAAAGAAAACATGATACATTTTCAAAAATAATTAAAGATATCTGTATTTTCAAAAAGCCCACATTACCTACCAAAATTCCAACACATAATTTCAACTCTTGAGATAGAGATTTATCTTTTGGGCAAATTATTTTTTTCTAAGGCTTGGCAAATATTGAGCAATAAGTCACAAAATGCTAAGATGAATGAAGGTAATTGAAAACACAGTTCTCAGTATAATCACATTATACTTAATTGAGTATAATGCTGGATACTGGGGACACACACAAAAATGTATATGATGAAGAAAAATCTACGTGTTTGTTAATATTTTAGTATCAGTGAGATAGACTGACTTGCTTACTTACCTTTAAATTTGGTTTAATGAGGTTTTCAAAACAGTTCTGTTCCATCTAAGTAAACTTGAGACCTACAAGTGCTAATGACACCAGATCTTATTCTTAATTTAAGAAAGTAAGATCAAGGCTTATGTAGGTAAAAGAAAAATATTTTCTGGGGAATTATTTGATATTATTCTAAAAAGAAGGGCACTATTAAGAGAAAGAGTATCTGTATCTACTGAAAGGAATGAGAGAATATGAGAATGCTAAATTTTTCTGCATAAAAAGACCAAGAGATGAGAGGAGGGGGGAGAGAGGAGTGACATTACCTCTGAAGATTCAGGAGGTAGGAAAGGTACCTCTAAGCTGTATAGAGAAAGTGTGAAGAAGTAGGTGGTAGCTAACGAGGAGTGTTGGAGAGGGGAGGTGTTCCATTTATTCAGTGTTGCATATGAATTACCCGCAAATTTAGTAACATAAAATGAAAATTTACTATGTTCACAGATTTTGTGAGTTAGGAATTCTTAGATTTAGTGGGCCAGTCTCTCATGCAGTTGCAGTCATATGCTGGTTGGGGCTGTAGACAACTGAATATTTGATGAGGGTGCTGGAAAACCCATTAGCATAGCTGGTAAGTTAGTGCTGGCTGTTGACTGGAGGTCTCAATTCTTCATGTGGGCCACTGCATGGAGCTGCTTGAGTGTCCACTTAACACAATAAGGCTTTCCTCAAAGCAAGCAATTCAGGAGATCAAGTTGGAAGCCATGCTTCCACTGTATACTGTTCATCACTCAGAGCCAACACTGGTTCAATATAGGAGGGGATTACACAAGGGCATAAAAATCAGTAAACATGGATCAGTGGGGTCCATCCTAGAGGCTAGCCATCGCAGAATGGGGCCACAGAGTTATTTACTAGAAATTTGAAAGTTACTTTTACATGTAATGTGCCATTAACTATTTCTTAGCCTCCTCACCACCCAATTTTCAGTAATTCTAACACATTCATTAATGTTTTGTGGAGTTGGATTTGCTCCTGAGGCCTGCTTTAAGTAGACTTGAGAAAAGAGGAGAGGCCATCTACAGTTTTGGACACATATGAGTTACCTACATATTTTGACATTTTTCCCAAATGAAGCAGAGAATTTCTGAATAATTTTATAAAAACAACTATAAAAGTAATAGGAATATCTAACTAAGGTTTTCTTTTCTATTTTTCTTGCAAGTGACAGATTACTCTCATTTTGTCACCTGCAATTAAAGTGAGAACATCTAATTATCTTCCTTTTCCTAGGCAATGTATACCTCAGGATGAAGTGAATACCATTCTTCTATATTTGAGACCAGAAAACTAGTGTGGGAGATTCCACCTAGTCCATTTTTTTGCCACATTCACATCCTCAGAGGGCCACCTAAAACTCTCTCCTTCCATGCAAAAATACTTTCCTCCTACCTCTCCTTTCCTGATACCTTGACAAGGAGAAACCAGAGCCATGAGGATCAAGAATGAGAAATAGGAAGACTTCGGGAGAAAATGTCCTAATCAGCAGTCTTCTGGGAAGTCGGAACTTCTCTTTTCAGTTCAGGTCATCTTCTGTTTCACGGGGAAAATGATTAGTCCTGAAGAATTAACTGCTCATCAAAAATAGAATCAAGTAAAAACAAAGGTAAAGGAGATTGCTTCTTTATCATTGTGGGAAGGACTGAAGGTCCGTCATTCCTATTTCAGATTTGGTCAGAGATAATTTGGGTAGGCATTGGCCTTCATAAATGCACTTCATGGTACACAGCTCCATGAATGTTCTCTCACAAATCATCAGTGTGAATCGATGTAATACTCAATAGCATTTCCCTTTAGAACCCATTTCAAAAGAGCTATTAATGTGATGGTAAGACTATGCTAAGCACACAACCTATTATCCATTTGATTTTCTGCTGAGGAGAATTATTGCAAAGGTACCAAAGCAGTTTGATTATCACAGGGAGAGTTTTTATTTTCAGCTTTTTCAAGCTGTGTATTGAGTTGCTTTGCCTTCATTTAAACGTTAAATTCTATAATTAATTTACAATACATTCAGGGAAAAGACTCCTTGGTGTAAAGCAAAAAGCTACAAAAAAGTGGAAGATTTAGTTCCCTCAAAGGCTTCAAATTAAATTTCAATTCAATTCAATTCAATTCAATTCAATTAACATTTATTGAATGTCTGCAGGGAGCATGGCACTGTAGTGGTTACTAGAATTCAAACTAGGCAGACATTCAAGGGGATTTCAAAGTTAATTTTATAAATATAGGTAGAGAAAGTCAGAATCATTTAAACTATATTCTTTTTGAAGTCTATATTTCCTTTGACAGGTTTTCAAAATGGTGTTTAATCTGATTGGGAGCTCCCTTGGAATGTGATGAGGAGCCCAAAAAGCATTCTTTCTTGATTCTTAAATTTGGAATAAGGAAATTTTTATTACTACCTCTAGAAATGGCTTAAACGTTAGAAAAAACAAGTTTAAAACATTTAACTAAAATTAGTGAATGATAGTGTTGCTTTCAGAAAGACACCACAAAATAAAGACTCCTGCTATACATGGACTTTAATATTTCAGATTTGGAATGTATTTACCCTTTAAGTGTCCTTCTAAAAAATAATAAAACAAATAGTATTTCTTCTGGCTATTACCAGGAACCAGGAAAAATTTGGAAAGAGAGTAGAGATAGTTTTTGAACTGCTGGAATTTTTCACAAGACCTACCAAAATCTAGCCAAAGATATATATATATATAATATATATATATTAATTGTCATTTTAAGCTTCCCACTGCAGCTGCCCCCCACCCTTCCCTTCAATGACAAGGTTTGCAGGCTTCAGGGGGACCAGGGAACAAAGCCCAGCCCCACTAGGCTGCCAGCTGGGGAGAACAAGTCACAATTACAAATTATCACAACAATTAGTGCCTATACTTGGGGGATCTGCAAATTGAGGCGGCCCCGGCTCCTCATTGTACAGGGGTCTATTTGGCAGTGACCTTGCTCTGGAGACGATGATATTCCTTCAGCCTGAGGGAATTGATGTTGATGAAGCCGGTGGCATCAATTGGCTCATAGTCACCCTGAACGTTCATGCTCACCAGCTCCTCGTTGTAGAGAGACAGGGGGGGACTCCCGGCTAAGGTTGTACACCTGGCCCTTCAAGATGGACACCTGCACTTTCCCTTCCACTCGCTCCTGCGACTTGGCGATGCAGTGGCAGACAAATTCACACTCCGGGCTGTGCCAGAAACCGGTATAGACCAGCTCAGCAAATTTCAAGCCCAGGCCTTGTTTGATTTTGCGCACTTCCCGGTCCATGGTGAAAGCCTCGATGTCTAAATGAGCGTGGTAAAGGATGGTGCCTGCTGGGGTCTTGTAGATACCTCGGGACTTCATTCCGATGAAGCGGTTCTCCACGATGTCAATTCGGCCCACGCCGTGCTTGGCCGCGACTTCATTCAGGTACATGAAGAGCTCCAAGGAGGTCTGGTGGGTGGTGCCATCCTTGACGTTGGTCACCTTCACGGGGACCCCTTTTTTGAACTCGATCTCGAGAATGTCAGGGGTGTTGGGGGCTTTGGCTGGGTCCTGGGTCTTTGTGTAGAGACCTGGAGGCGCTTGGTTCTTGGGGTTCTCCAGGATTCCATTCAAATGCCTTCAGAGCCCTCTTTAACTAAGAATGTTTTACATGCCTGCCAGTCCTTTTCCTGTAAAAGTCGAAGATGGGTCTAGAAACAAAGCAGATGCAATGTGTTCCTTTCTTAGGAATAAAAACCACATCTCATCTGCAGATGAGGAAAGCAGTTGTTTGTAGTAGATCCCAAACACAAAAACCATTTTTTTTTGGTCTATGTTTTATTATCAATTTGTTCTGTTTATCCTGTGAAATTCTTTCTTAAAATTTTGTTAATATGATTCTATGCAGCCATAAAAATGAGATTATGTCTTTTGCAGAGACAGGGATGGAGCTGGAGGACTTTACTCTTAGCAAGCTAATGCAGAACAGAAAACCAAATACCCCATGTTCTCACTTATAAGTGGGAGCTAACCAATGAGACCCCATGGGCACAGAGGGGAATAACAGGTGCTGGGGCCTATTGGAGGGGGAGGAGTGTGAGGAGTGAGGATCAGAAAAAATAACTAGTGGGTGCTAGGCTTAATACCTGGGTGATGAAATAATCTGTACAACAAACTCCCATGACACAAGTTTACCTGTGTAACAAAGTTATACATGTACCCATAAACTTAAACCAAAAGTTAAAAAAAATTAATTTTGAGTCAGTATTGTTCACCGAAAAGTACTTCCTTTCCCCCTGTACGATAGTGGAAGGCGCTACCACTTCCATTGTATATTAGCCAGCTGTATATTTGTGAGTCTGTTTCTGCATTTTAATTTGTGTCATCCTTATATTTGTGTATACTTTCACTCATTCCAGCTTAGTAACTTAATTAGTGACCCTTGCAATCTAAAAATCCTCTAACTTTATTTTTTTTAAGTTTGTTTTGGACATTTTTAGAGGTTTTTGTGTCCATACAAGTTTTAGTTCAGTATCACCTTGTCAATATCAACAATAAAAGAACACCAACAACCAAAGCCAAAAACCACGCGCCCACCCACCCAACCAACCAAACATAAAAGCCTCTTGGGATTTTAATTAAAATTGCATTTAATCTATGGAGCAGTTCGAGGAGATCTGAAGCTTTACAATATTGAGTTTTCCAGTATGCAGACATGGTGCATTTTGCCATTTATATGAGTAGCTTTAATTTCTCTTATAAATGCTTTCCAGATGGAAGTCTTGTATAAGTTGCATTAGATTTATTTCTAGTATTTGATATTTTTGAAGCTGTTATAAAGGGTAGAAGTAAACAAAAATCACAGTTGTTTGTTGGTACCATGTAGAAATCCATTTGACTTTTGTATATTGATTTTATATCTAGAGACTTTTAAAAAACAACTTACTAGTTCTAATATTTCACCTGTAGACTGCTGGATATTCCAAGTACAAAACTATGTTGTGTGCAAATAACGGTAGTAATAGTTTTCCCCTTACACTTTTTATACTGGTTATTTATTTACTTTGTGTTACTATACTAGCTAAGATATTCAGTTTAAAATCAAATAGATGAGGTATAAGCAAAAATCACTGTCTCATTCTTGATTTCAGGGAGAATTATTTTAATACTTAATTATTAAAATATTATTAAATTACTAAAATATTTAATACTTATTAAATTATTAAAATTCAGGGAGAATTATTTTAATATCATTAAGTATAATGTTTGCTATAAGGATTTTTATAGATAAGGAGTGATTTTTATGTCTATTTTAGTTGTTAATTATTACTCATAGTTTCATTTTTTTTTTCTATGGCCTACTTTCTTTCAGCTTGAGACTGGGTCCTCTCACACCCTCTAACAGCTTTGTAAATAGTTTTGTAAAATGTCTCTTGATTTTTCACACTGTCAAATCTATCAGTTAATCAGATCCATTTTGTTTTTTCCTTTTCTGGAGATGTGTAGATTGCATTCCAGCTGGGCACTTCTGGGACTCCCTTTGCCATCATTCTGGGAATTCCAGTTGCCTTTTTCTGATGTCCAGGGCTATTTCTGGTCTCTTCATTTTTTTCTTCTTGACTTCTTTTCATGTTTCCATGACAAACAACTGTAGCCATTTCCTGTGGGCATCTGAGCTCACAGTGAAGTGTGGAGCATCAAGGTAGGTCTGTGGGAGCCTCATTTGAGAAGACTCAAATGAGCAGAGGGGCTTTAGGACAGAAAATGAGGAGGGGAAAATGGGAAGAAACAGATGCTATGCTTCAATCCATGACAATAATGAGGCCATTTTGAATAACATAAAATTTGGTCAATACCATATCTAGGAGTTTTCCATATCATTTACCAAAATGGGTAAGGCACATTTAAAAACAAAATTCAAGTAAAATATTCATAGAATTCCTGAAAACCAGTAAGATTTGTTAAACTTTGAAATGAATTACCAAAGAGTCCAATGAACTTCTCTGTAAATAATTAATATCAATTCAATAAATATTAATAAATATTCAGTATTCTTATATGCCAAACACTGTTCTAGATGTTTGAAATACATAATTGAACAAATAGACAAATCTCTGCCTTCATGGGGGAAGACAGGCAATAAACATAGTAAGGTAATTCTGTAGCCTAATAGAAAGTGATAAGAGGTGTAGAAATGATATGAATGACTAGGGGTCCTGGGCAGGATGAAAAGTGCAATTTTAAATAAGGTGATCAGAGTAGGCTTCATGGAGAAGGTGATGTTTGAGTAGAGATTTGAAGAGGAACACTGTAGGCAGAGAAAACAGTCAGTGCAAGGGCCCAAAGAGGGGTGCATGTCTGGCATGTTCAGCAACATGGGAAGCTAGTGTGGTTGAAGCAGAGTGAAGAGAGAGAGCAGAGCAACAGGTGAGGTCAGAGATGATGGGTGCTAAGCCATGTTGAACCAAACTGGCCATGATAGTACTGGGGCACTAACTCAGAATGAAAATAAGAGCCTTCAGTCGCGTAGACTTGGAGCAGAGTGACATGATCTGGCTTGTATTTTGAAGCAATCACCAAGGGGTGGTGTTAAGAAGAGGCTGTAGGGGCCAAGGACAGGAGGAGGGAGGCCAGGCAGAAGCTACTGAAGTGATTCTGGCTGTTTCTCCAATCAAAATGGCTACATTGTAAGTGGCAATGCAGGTAGTGAGAAGTGATAATCATCATTGCTGGGTAACACTGCCCTAAAATCTAGTGGCTTAAAATAATTTATTAGTTATGCTCATTCTGTAGGCTGGCCATGTGGTTCTTCTGATGGTTTCTTCTGGACTCACTCATGTGGCTGCACCTGCTGCAAGGCTGGCTCTCTCACGTGGCCAGGGGACCTTGGTTCTCCTTCTAGCCTCTAGCCTTTCATCCCCTAGTGCTAGGCCAGCCTCCTTATTTGGTGGCCTCAGGGAGTATTCTAAAAGAGGGTGTGTGGATGCTACAAGATACCTACCTCAAAGTCTCATAATATTATTTCTGCCACATTCTTCTTTTTTAAACTAAGTCACAAGGAGAGTTTAGACATAACTTGTGGGGAAAAGGACTCCATGTCTTGATGGGAGGAATAGCAAAGTTACATTGTAAAGGAACCTGTATCCTGGGGTAAGAGGACATTTTTGTATCCAAGTTTTAACCCACCAAAAAAGTATTTAGTATCTTTTTTTGTTGTTGTTAGAGACAGGGTCTTACAATGTCACCCAGGCACAATAGCTCACTGTAGCCTCGAACACCAGGGCCCAATTCATCTTGCTGCCTCACGCTCCCAAGTAGCTGGGACTATTGGCGTGCACCACCACACCCAGCTAACTTTTCAGTTTTTTTTTTTTTTTTTTAATGTTAAATAAGGGATCTTTTTATATTGCCCAGGGTGGTCTTGAACTCCTGGGCCCGAAGGATCCTCCTGCCTCAGCCTCCTAAAGTGCTGGGATTACACTTTGTAATCCCAAAGTGTGAATCATCACACCCAGACAAAAAGTATTCAGTATTTTGAGAGTATACGTTGGATATGTGATGTGAGAAAGAGAGAGGAATCAAGGATGACTCTGAGATTTCTGGCTTAAGCAACTGGCAAGTAGGGGTTTTTAATCAACTGAGGTGGGAAAGACTGTAGGTAGATTAAGTGAGAAGAGCAGGATTCAGTCAGGGGAACTGGGGGCAGGTTCTCTGCACCAGCACTCAGTATACAGTTTCATATTAAGTCAGAGGCTGTCTGAGGCCAACACTGGTCTTTGAGAGTGGGAAGTCCAAGCAAGCAGAGGAGGATAAGTAGGTATCGTTGGCTCTAATGGAAGATGGGCAAGAGAAGGCCTCTACATTCTAGGAAGTCAACTTGCTGTATGGTTTGACTGGCAGGGACAGGGTGAGGTAAATAATGCCACAGAAGTTCCAGGATGAAGGGTTGCAAGAGGTTTGTAAAGAAACTCAACAGGTACAGTGATTCAGAAATTGACATAACAGCCTAGAGGAAGACCTGGGAGAAGCCCTCAAATAACCATTGGTCCATTATGCATCTAGGGTCCTTAACAAAAAGAGACAAGGTTGGGAAAAAAAAATTCCCATTTTGACACAGGGAAGTGTCTATAGCAAAGCTATCCCTGGATCTCGTAAATGTGGAATATGACCCACAATTTAAAGTCAGCTGCTGCTGCTGCTTTGTGTGTGTGTGTGTGTGTGTGTGTGTGTGTGTGTGGGTGGGTGGAAAAAATCTCTTAAGGGAATGTCTGATCCTCCTGTAGGCATAAAAACAGCATGATTCATACCCAAGGAAGAGAATGTTGAGGGGGAGTGCACTCATGCTGTGTGAAACTTCATTGTCAAGCCTCTGTGTAAGGGTGGGTGGATACAGTGTCTGAGTGTATTTGTATACACCTTTATTTTGGCAAATATTGGTAACTGTCTGACTGACCTTTCTTTAGGGCAAGGACTCAGATGGTTAGGAGGGAGAAACAGGTTGCTTCTCAGGCTGGTGCACATTCTTGGCTACATTTTACAAATAAACTGTAAAAGATGGAATGTATTTGCTGACTGGTTTGACAGTCTACCCAGAGGTAGGAGGATGGACTCTATGACCTTTGAAAGTCAATTTTCATCCCAAGATTCCACATTCCAATTATGTCTGATGGACTATTTAAATAAATGATGATTTTTCTATTGGAAAAGAAAATTGACTGGAATTCATCCTATTTGAGTTGCAAAAATTTGAAAATAGGTCAACTCTTAATTACCCAGGGTAATAGAGAACATCTTGGATGGATTATCCCAAACCACAGGTAATTAATAAAATGTGCAAATTAGGCACTGATTCATAGCATTCATTAAAATTTACATTTAAACTACTACTTCAGCAGCATAAACTTGTAGATGAGCAAATCAACATGGAAAAAGTAATTTTAAGATTAATATACATATTTTAAATAAAATGTAGAGCTGGAGATATTGCCAAAAGACTGGGCAATCTGAAATATTTTTATACTCTAAAACTCAGAACATTTACCTAGCACTCCATAAGACATTTGACAGATTTTTAAAAATCTAATTTTTGTAAAAGGCAAGGGAGAGATCAACAGAGGTTTTCCACCCCCTGGAAACTCTTGTACCTGCCCGATGCTGGAGCCTCCACTTTGTGCTGGTGTTGAGGCCTGTGAAGCCATCTTCCATTTTTTCCATTGTTAGCTTTCTTACTTGGACCAGCTAGAATAAATTTCCTTAAGATAATAGAAAGAGTCTAAATCAGAGGTCTCCAAAGTAGACTGCGTACACTTTGGGTATGAATCAAGCATGCAAGACCATTGATTGGGCTGTAGGAAGAAAATATTACTGTTTCTATTTACAATTTATTTTTACCCAAGAAAAAGAATGAAATGAATTCTAATAAAATTTAATATGGGTTAACATGTAGCACATACATTTATATATAAATTCACATACATTGCCCGCAGGTATTAAACCTTGGCTCACATACTCTTGATCCTCCTTCCTACTCTATTGTGTGGCATCTAGTTGTGCACAGGTGTGATCTGTCAGCCTCATGCTTCAGCTCCTCCATATCTCTATCACCTATTCTTCTTCTTCTACCTCTGTCCAGCCATACTCAAGCATGCACAGATATGGAAGTGTGAGAAACTTGATAAGAGCTGACAGCCAATGGATAAATAATTACCTTTCCCAAGTCCTGCATGAACAATTCTGAAGTGCATTCTACGTGGCTCTTCAGAGGGACCTCACTGGCCCTTATTGGCCCTTAATAGTAAACAACCCAATTATGTCCCTTATGAATCAGCCTCTGCCCTTCTTTGTTTTTCCTTTTCTAGCCCCTGCTCTCCTGTTCTCCTTGGAAGGATTATTCCTGCCGATAAACTCCCTGTATGAAAGCCAATGTCTTAGACTCTTGTTTTTTGAGGAAGAAACCAGGCTATGCAAGATGTATACTAAAACATCTTTATGAAAGGGTATAAGACAAATATTTTGGAGACTACTAGTATAAAGCATCCATTGTCAATGTATTTTTTTAAAAAAGTAAGCCCATAATATACTAATATTTGTATATGTGGCAAAGTGTGTGCCGCATATGTGCTGTTCTTGTGAGCATATTAGCTATACCTCTTCCCTGTTTTCTCCCACTGCATGCAACATATTGATACAAATCAAAGAGAACTGCTACTATGGGGATGTTCATACATTTACTCAAACTTATAAATAAAACTAACAAGATGTAGGCTTTAGTACTTTATCATTAATACCAAATTTCTTTGAATGGGTGGTAACTAATTGTAATTCAAAATGTGTTAGGTGGGATGCTTTGGTTGAGATCTCTTTCTAAAGCAATCAGACGCAGGTTTAGAACCTGGAACTTGATGCTAAAAACTATTTTTCATATTTAAGCAACTTCTTAAGTTATTGACTTATAAGCTATTGCATCTTTGTACAAGAGGTTACATATAACTTTTTGCCGTCTTACTTCTTGCTCAAAAACAGCTCAGAGGTTTCCTTCACATATGCCAAAAAAATTAAGAACAAATTAAAAAAACAGCTCAGGGGTGTTATGAGAAGGGTACTTCACCTCTTTAGTATTTTTCTTAGAAATTTATAATTTCAGTCTAATGAGGCAATATAAGATGATCCAAATTGAGGAGCATCCTACAAAATGCTCAATAGTCTTTAAAAGTGTCAATATCCCCCCAAATCAGACAAGACTAAACTGTCATAGATCAGAGAAGAACAGAGAGACCTGGTGACTAAATGCTCTAGGATATCCTGGATTGGATCCTAGAATAGCAAACAGTGTGACTGGGAAAAGTGGTGAAATATGAATAAAATCTGTAGTTTAGTTAACAGTATTGTGCTAATATTATTTTCTTAATTTTCAAAAGTGTTCCATGGTTTTCTAAGTACTAACATCACAGGAAGCTGGGGGAAGTGTATATGGGAATGCTCTGTACTATCTTTGGAACTTTCTTATAAATCTAAAATTATTTCAAATAATAAAATGGAAATACATTTTAAAACAATGTCCAATTTAAAACAAACAAACAAAGCAACTCATGTAGACAACTTTGGTTAATTTGGGCAGAATCTTGCCTGTTAAGTCTTAATTAGGAAATACTTAAGGAGACATGGTCTATAAAAGTAGAAGTATGTGAATAGAGAAGTGATGTCTACTCAGGCAGAAGAAAGTGCTCAGATGAGATTTAGAGAGCTTATTTATACCATAAAAACCTGAAGTCTACCTTTTTCCTCATTTAGGGCATTTTTGGTACAGAATTATCTAATCACTTCAAGATGCCACTTGGCACAGCCAATAAATCTAGCTCTCTTTCTTGAGGGGATTAAGTGGTAGCTCATCATTTTTTGTAATTATTTTTCTATTAGCAACTTTCAGTAAATACTTTTGTAATCGCCCATGGGATGTCAAGCACTCATGAGATGAAGTTCCAACTCTAAAGATAAAAGCCCTATTTTTGAACCAAGCACTTAATGAGTAAGGATTTCACAAAGCTACAAAATCTGCCCCTGAGAACCCCTGACAACTAAATATTCCATGGCTTCCACTGATAATCATGCTGTCAGTTAAGTTATTTTGCATTTTTAAACAGCTGGGTATATCTTTTTTCTCTGTGAAATTCTGTGAAGAGAGTTTAATGTAGCAAATTAAGAAAAAAAAAAAAAGGCTTGTCATATACCAGGAGGTATCAACAATCACCAAGCTGTCATGCATTAACTACCTGTTTCACCTCCATTGAGAGATATATCTCATGTGAATCATTGGATCTTTGGTGAGTTATGCCAGCTGCATTTTTTGATTCATTTTTATATTTAACCTAAATATATGTTTAAACATTTTTTGGTCATTTTAAACAATCATAAAAAGCAAAATTCTGAATAAAAAAATTAATTTTAATCAAAAACTAAAATTGGTTCAAATAAAATGTATTTCCATTTTAATCCTTTTATTAGAAACCTGGCTGTGATAAATACCAAGGAATACTATGCCAGTTCACAGTAGTAAGAGTGCAGAGGTGCCAGGTTAGTATAATGTGATTGTTATGTTATATGACTAGATGTGTGTAAACAGATCTATCAAAATCTGTCTGTCCTTCGGTAGGTGACAAAATTAGATCAGGAGACCTGGCGTCTATCCCAGATGATTTTCTTTTCTTTTTCTATCGTAAACTTAATATTGAAGCTTGAATGTCGCTTGATTTTTGATAATTAAAAAAATGAATTTGTGGGGAGAAGGAAAGTCTTTTAACTTTGAATGCAGACAGAACCAACACTGAACTAGAAAAAACACTTACAATTTTGTCTATTATAACTTGCATTTTTAACATCTAATGGACACTTAAAATTCACAAATTTAAATTTGTCATTTTGACTAATGGAAAGCCAGAGCAGAACTGCTGTTTTTGAATACATAACATGAGTGGCAACGTAGATTTTCACAACACAATGCTACCTCTCCAAAGCTCATGTCATTCACATTTTATCAATGTGTTGGGGGACACGCTGGAGTCATGGGTTTTTAGGATGGTATGCTAGACTCTTTTGTCTGGTGAATATGCCATGCTTGCCACCCAGCAACTACATCTCAATTGATTTGTTATATATAATATAATATCTTTGTAGATAATACAAAGATATTATAAAAGTAATTCTACAATGAAATCTGAAGCAGGTATAGTGATGGAAAAGAAGATAATAAATTAGAGAAACAAAACATAAAAATCAGTTTTGCACGTTGTGAAAGTTTCTAGTTTTCTGCCTGACAAATGTCAAGAACTTCAGAACACAAAACTGAAGCATGTCATTCCCTTTATTATCTAAGAAGGTAATCAATGAGTAAACATATCTTGAGCTACTATTTTTTGTTTAGCATGATTCTTGAGGTGAGAGAATGACCAGAGATGGCATCAGTCATCAAAGTTCTTCAAATCTTTTTGAGAAGACAAAGGGAGCCTAGAGGAGTCAGGGACAGGAACAGTGTTGTTATATGAAAGCCTGTCTAGAAAAATGAAGTACTGATAGGGAGTCAGGAGAAGCAAGTTCCAGTTGCAGCTCTGATAACAATTTCTCTCCACTATCTTCCAGAAGCGAATGTGCCCCAAACTGGGCCTAAGTCTTAGCATAAGATCTTCAAGCATCAAATGACTGTGATTTATTACCCAGACTGAGACACTTCTGAGAGTGAAAGGGAGCTTCATGATTAATTATTCCAGAACAACTGGAGTATATTAGGACTGTCTTGGACAAACTAAAAGGCAACATCGTTCTACTCCCCCGAACTTCTAAGCTCTGGCTGATTCTTTCAACATACCTCTTCTCAATAAAAATATCCTCCTCTTTGTAGCATATTTGTACTTCTACTGAATGATAAATGATTATATGCATTCCTTGTTTTTATGTAAGATAATAATACAGTTTCTTGATATTATTTAGAATTTTAGAAATTATATCCTCATTTTGGTATTTTAACCCATTAATGGGAAATTTCAGACTGGAAGAAGAAAACAAGTAACCTAAGGGAGATATTTTGATCCAGACCAGGATTTTTGGTCACTTTCATGTCTCCTGCCTAGGCAGCTATCTGATCAACCCATTTAAAATAATCACTGAGATAGTTGCTAATAAAATGAATTCAAGAAAATTGCCTTTTAGATTTTAAGTTGATAACAATATACCCCTATTAATAAGTACCTGTGTGCTTACACTGCACAGGGTTATGCTATGTACAATTTGTACATGGCATATGTATGACCAATGAAAACATGAAAGTTGTTTTAACAAGGAATAGCATATGCCAAATGTGTCCTAGAGAAAACGAGAACCCACAGGATCCAGAAAAGGAGACAGAAATTGAATTTGACATGTAGCAGGAAGGTGGATAGAACTTATATGGGTGGTGTGTGTAGGGCAGCTGGCAAGTGGTGGGGGGTAGGTATGGAGCATGTTGTGGAGAGGACAGATTGTCTATCTTTTAGTCTGTCAAGGATGACATAAAAAAATTCAATATAAATTTGGCTGACCAAATTCTGTAAAATTTGAATCACATTTTCCCATCAGAAAGTAATTTACATCACCCCAGAGTGTGAAAGTTCAATCTGCAAGACAAATTTGATTTAACAGTCCATGCATTCCATATGTGTGTCACATTATTGAAGTAGGTGTGCTCTAAAGGCATTTGCCTTTGTCTGAACGGTGCTTAGGCACAACATGACTGGCCTTGATGATGTGCTTTACACTAAGGTAAATGTGTGGAGAAGCCTCGCGTGTGAATGTGTTGTAGTAAATCAACAGCTGACTGCAGATTTATGGGTATCATTATTTCATTGTGCAGACGGCACCTCCACTGAATTTAATGAGCTGAACTAGGTGAAAAGTTCATTCTAATCTCCTGTTGCCTGAAGCTCAAGCACTCCGTGGAATCACAGAACATATGTCCTTCTCTTGTTTTAAAAACTGAAGGTGACCTTCTGATAAACAAGTCTCTCTTGAGGATAATGACATAGGAAGTTATTTTGAAGACATTTTCTACAGTGTATTGATTGAATATGAACCTACAACAGCCACCTGTTGCAAATCTGAGAGGTGATTTGTCAAATTTAAGACCAATGGCACATTTGCTTTAATTGATTTTTGAGAATGTTCATTACTTTGAGAATGGCTTAGATTCTCTCACCCATATGTTTCCTTTGCTATTCAGAATAAACATTAGCAAGTGGTCTCTCTTCTGTAGTCTTTTACATGATAATTCTGGACTAATTCTAACATGTGTATTGTAATTAGGTGAAATGTTTATGAAAGACATGTCTACAAATAAAACCTGATGTTCCCTCCATATTTAAAAAACACTCAACAGTGAATTCAGGTAAAGAATATATATATATTTTTTGACAGTCTCGCTCTGTCACCCAGGCTAGAGTGCAGTGGCATGATCTCAGCTTATTGCAACCTCTGCCTCCTGGGTTCAAATGATTCTCCTGCCTTAGCCTCCCGAGTACCTGGAATTACAGGTGCCTGCCACCATGCCCAGCTAATTTTTGTATTTTTATTAGAGACAAAGTTTCTCCATGTTGGCCAGCCTGGTCTCGAACTCCTGACCTCAGGTGATCTGCCTGTCTTGGCCTCCCAAAGTGCTGGGATTACAGGCATGAGCCACCATGCTCGACCAGAGAATACTTTTGTTGTTGTTATTGTTTGTTTTTGTGTTTTCCACTACCTTCCCTGAGAATAGAACTTTTAATTTTTCTGGTGGAAGCTTTGAAATCTCACAGGGCTGCATTCACACATGGGAAACACACCAGTAAAGTGGAACAATGGATATATCTCAGTGTGGATGCTCTTGGTATCTTGTGGGGTGTGCGGGGGGACATTTTGTATGTAGCTTATTGAGGGACTTTTAGAGTCACTGGATCCCCACACTGTGTACCAGGAGCACACCCCAGTTACTGCAACCACCAAAAGCATCCCAATACAACCATTTAGCAACTCTTAAGGTATAACTCAGTTGCAAATGGTAAAAGAGTAACTATTACCTAGATGTAAATAATTTCTAACTTGAACAGTTTGTTTTCAAAGATGACTTTGTTAAGTTGAAATGTTGAACACACGTTTCTATATATAATATAGAATATAAATGGTGACTATGTCTCCAGGCTGGTGACACCCTGCCTGGCTTCCATGACCCCATCCACAATCCCTACTTCAAGTTCATAGACTAAGACAATTTAATTCCAATCTTTAAATCTCTTTCCCTCTTCCTAAAATGGGCTCTTCTTAAAATCTTTTTGATCAAGGAGAGTTTAAGGAGCCATATTTCAAGAGTATATTGATTTCAGATCAGAGTTTTGCTTGATCAGAACATGTTAGTGGCTTTTATCTTATCCCCAGTGACCTGGTTCTTCTCTTGCATCCCGGTTACTGATGTAATCTCTATCTGGGTCTCATTTACTTTATATCCTGCTTTACTTCTCTCTTTGCTGCCACTGCCAGACTCCTGGATGCTTGTTCTTGATGTCCCATAGGGCCACTTGTTTGCTGCTCTTTGTGAAGCCTTTTTGTTATCAACACCTAACTGGGCATCTTCTTATTCCTTCTATCGAGGCCGAAGACATACATCTGCTTATTGCAGTTTCTTCCTGAAGATTGTTTTTGGGTGCTTTGTCAATTGTCCGCATTGTCCTGGTAGGTAGGTCTCTAGCTCTTGACTCTTCTAGGATGGGCTTGCCTGAGCATCAAGCGTAACAGTTATTTCACTCTACTGCAGACATGATGCAGCCCCATCAGGAAACGATTAAAAAACATGGAAGCAATGATGTTGCAGTATGGAAATTAAATAAAACTGAAAACAAATGGAGTAAGAGTTTCTAAATATTTAAATCTGATGCATAAAGTAGTTTTAATTAAAATAAAAGAGGAGATGCATGAAAATTTTCTTTAAAAATCTGAGTTTTCTGAGCCTTTGAGGCAAGGTCTTTAGAAACTGGTGGCAATGACTTTTATTATGGTTAATTTCCCTCTAGAACTTGTGAATTTACTGTTCCTTGATATGAAAATATTAATGCTACTCTTAGGCAGATCAGCCATAATTAGGATAATTTTTTGCCTCACAAGTGAAATGAAAAGATAGATTTCCCTATCCTTCCTACAAGATAATTGGGCAAAAAATGAAATAGTGAGCTGAATGAAGAAAAGTGTTAAAAATAAATGTGTTTGTGTGGGTAAGCAGAATGAACAGCTTGATGGGGAGATGAAAATAGCAGATAATGCAACTTAATGCTATTATTATTATTTGGTGGGTAAAATAATTTTGTCTTATTTGTTTAATAAACCTGTATTTGAGAAATCAAAAGAGACTAAAGGATAACTACTGAAAAAAGTGAGTCTTCCTCATACGTCTTTAATCCTGCTGACCCAGTTGCTTTTCCTAGGAGAAAAGTATACATTGTGGATTTGTTGTGTATCTCTCCAGAGGATACTATTTATTTATTTGTCTTTATTTCAGTAGCTTTTGGGGTACAAGTGGTTTTTGGTTATATGGATGAATTGTACAGTGACGAAATCTGAGATTTTACTGTTCCAGAGATATTTTATGAATAGGCAAGCATTTTTATGTGTGCATGCATTAACACACACATACATATCTAAAAATTGAAATTATTTAGATAGGTTTATGTTTAATTGGCATTAAAGTTGATGAGGACCAGAAAGCTCTTGTCAAGAAGTTCAGTAAGGCAGTGATGTCAGACTTTACTAAAATCCTTACTAGAAAGTATTTCTTGTCTTTTTTTTGAGATGGAGTTTCACTCTGTTGCCCAGGTTAGAGTGCAGTAGCACAATCCTCAGCTCACTGCAACTTCTGCCTCCCATGTTCAAGTAACTCTTCTGCCTCAGCCTCCCAAGTAGCTGGGATTACAGGTGCCTACCACCACGCCTGGCTAATTTTTATATTTTTAGTAGAGATGCAGTTTCATCATGTTGGCGAGGCTGGTCTTGAAGTCCTGACCTCAAGAGATCCACCTGCCTTGGCCTCCCAAACTGCTTGGATTACAGGTGTGAGCCACTGCTCCTGGCCGAAGCACATTTCTTTATAGTCTCATCTCTCAGGCACACCCATATACTATCTTTAGTGTGTGGATAACATCAATAAATGATGGTTTTGTTGACCTTATCCATGTCTACCTGTTCCATCTGGATGGGTATAGATATGGTGCCTTGTGCTGTCCTTGGGCACAAATTTTCTAATATGCCCTAATCTAAATCACTTTTTCTCTATCTTGGAATTCAGTGTTTAACCTGGATTCTTCCTTCCCTTTTACCCTGGACATTCTCCTCACCGTTCTTTTTGGTTGATGGCGTTATTTCTTACATTTTACATATTCTTCTTTCTTGGTTTACTTTCTTATCTTGGTGGAACACAACTACCAGTTATGTCTTGAGAAAGGATATGTGACAAATAAATTTGAGATGTCATACATCAGTAAATATCTTTAGTTCACTTGTCCACCTGATTGATAATTTGACATGTATAGCATTCTATATTGGAAGTAATTTCCTTTCAGAATTTTGCGAGTGTTGCTTCACCATCCTTCAGTTTCTAGGGTTGCTGATAAGTCAGAAGCCATTGTGATGTTTCATTTTTCTTTTGGAGTATATTATCTGTTTTGTAAAAAAAATCCCAGGACCTTTCAGTATCTTCTCTGTGTACTCAATGTTCTGAAAAATTATGATGATGTTTCTAGATGTAGGTCTGTTTCCATCTATTGCGTTGAGTAATCAGTGGCTCCTTTCAGCTTGGAAAATCAGGTCTATGAGTCCTGGGAATTTTTTTAAATTATTTTATTTATGATATCCTCCCCTCTGTTTTTTTGCCTTCTGAAACTCTTATTCAGATTACCCCCATGTTTGGACATTATACTTTTTGCTTCCTTCTTCAATTTCTTTCTTTTTTCTTTTTTCTATTTGTTTATCTTTTTACTCTACTTTCTGGGAGATTTTCTCAAATTTATCTTCTATCATTCTATTGATTTTAAAAGGTTTTCTGTTGCCATATTTTTAATTTCCAAGAACTTTTAAAAAATATAGCGTCATACTTCATGGAAGTAGTTTCTCCTGTTACTACTCTAAGGATGAGTACACATTAAGTTTTTTTTTTTTTTTTCTACTGGCATAATCTCTCTTTTCTCTAAATTATTATTTTCCAGTTTGTTCATGTTTGTCTTTATCTGTTTTATTAACTGATTTCTTCAAATGTTTCTTGACCCCTGGTTGTCTGCTTGTATTAAAAGTGAGCGCCTAAAGTGCTCACACAATGTGGGGCGATTTGAGTTTCACTTAGGGTGATTTGGTATTCTTTCCTTATCTTATTCTCTGAGGTGATTCAGGTGAAGTTTTCAGTTCTTTCTAGCTGGGTGATGCCTGGCTCCCAGAATTGTGAGAAGTTAGGGCCAGGTGGCTAAAGGTCTCAGCACTTAAAGTGCTTAATAAGCATTTGGTATCCTAATTTCCCTTTTATGTATGGTACCCAATTCCACAATTATGCCTGAGTTATTTCCTGGTTCAGAAACCCTGTTTTACCCTTCTGAAGACAAAACTCTAGGTTTCTGCTGGTGTTGGGAAAGATGGTCATCTTTCGGGATATTGTGGGGAAAAGGATCTAATTGCTACATACACAACTATGATTAAATATTCCTATATTAACCACTCCGACTTCATTACTTACTCCTAGTTCTACTGGTAGCTGGAATTTACAGTGTAAATCATGTAATTTGTCAGCTTTCCTGACTGTTGGCTTTAGACATTTTTGCCTCGGGTCTGTAAGTCAGTTCCCTCTCATGATCTACTTTCCATCTTCCAAAATTTTGTTGCTGTTTCTCCAGGACTTCCCATCTTTGTAGATTTATTTCTTTAAAAAATGCCTTTATGTAGTTTAATGGTATTGGATGGAGAAATAAAATATGCCTTTTAATGATTAAATCACCTTAATGGGGGCAGCTCATTAGTGTTATCCTTTGTCACTCAGGCTGGAGGGTAGTGATGCAATCATGGTTCATTGCAGCCTTGACCTCCTCAGCTAAAGTGATCCTCCCATCTCAGCCTACTGAGTAGCTGGGAGTTCAGGTGTACACCACCATGCCTGTTAGTTTAGATAGTGGGTTTAAATGTGATTTTTTTTTTTTTTACATTTTAAAATACTTTAAAATTTTTATCTTTTTGTGATTTTATTTTAATTTGCAAATTCTATATATTCTGAATTTACTACACTTGATAATATTTTACTTTGGTAAAAACAAAACAAAGCAAAATACAACATACAAACTCATGAATTATTTTGAAAATTCTAAACATTTTCTTGCCCCCAGAAATAGAAGTTACTTGAGGTGAAATAAGCAGTTATATGTAATGAAAGAGTGGAATCACTATTCAGTAGCATCCCCTTATCTGCAGGGCATATGTTTTAACACCCCCCCTTCGTGGATGCCAGGAATGTTGGATAGTGCTGGACCCTGCTGCCATAAATCAGAAAACATTTCTATTCATATGTTACTCACAAATTTAATGTATTTTCTATCTTAACTAAGCATTTATCATGCACTCTGGCTGTAACTTTTGCAGTTCGAGGCAAGACAACAAAACTAGCACAAATTTCTTTTGTCTTCTTTACAATTTCATAGATGAAAGATTCATTCTTGCTGTAGATCTTAGCAATTTCAGCATAAGATCTTTTTCTTTCGTAAGTAGAACATGCTCCACTTCATAAAAGCACTAGACAGATTCTCTTTGGCATATCTGAATTGCCAGCATCACTACTCTTGTGCTCTGGGGCCATTACTAAGTAAAATAGGAGTTACTTGAGCACAGTGTGATATGCAATAGCAGATCTGATAACCAAAACAGCTACTAAGCTATTAGGCATAAACAGCATCGATATGCTGGGCAAAGGAAAACTCAGATCCCAAGCTGGAAAGAGCAGGAAGATTTCATTGCACTACACAGAATGGCATATAATTTAAAACTTATGAATTGTTTATTTCTGGAATTTTCCAGATATTTTTGGACCATGGTTGGCTGTAGGTAACTGAAACTGCAGAAAGTGAAACCACGAATGGGGTTGGGGACACTACTGTATGCACTTGATCTCCTGAGGAGGAACGTGGCTTGGGCAGTCTTTTGCGGCAACCACCAGATGATGCCATTGACCAAGGTCAGCTTGATTGTGGTTTAGGTTTGAGGGAGAGGGTATTGTTTCCAGATTTGTAAGGGTTGAGGAACATCATCTATCAACTTTCCATGTATGGTGCTTATATAAGTTTGGCACACTTTTATTTGGTATATTTGGTCTGTCCATTCTCAGTTGTAGAATGAGTTTTGGTGGCACTTTTTCAGATGGTGTTTGTTTCAGCTGCTTTGGGATTTTGCTTTGAAGTTCAAGGGATCTAGCTGATTTAAATGATGTATTTTACTTAGTGAGAACCCTATTAAATGTATGAAGAGAGCTTTTGATTAGTCATGGAAATAATGAATGAGGAAGAAAAAGCTGATATAAATCCACCCACAATCCTAAAATCTCATTTGTTAAGTCTGGTGTTTTCTTCCTTGACAGTTTATCTATTTCTGCTAAGGAAGCCAGTTTCTTAAATTGCACAATAATTGAAAAATAAAGAAAGTGAAGTCAATA